CCTTTATATTAAAGATTTGTTCTTTTCCTCTCATCTAAACAAGTAGGTGCACACACTAATATACACATTACACAAATATTTGTAGAGTAGACTTATAAAAGACCGGACCCTCTTGGGAATTTTTTGGGCTGAAAATGAAAAAAAAAATGAATTGGTGATTTATAATTTTTCTCATTAAAAAGGGTTGAATATGGGAAGAAGAGAACCGTGTAATATAATATTAAATATGGAGGTGAGGTAATACATTTGCTTGTAACTATTACAAAGAAGATTGGAAGTATTTTTCGTTTTTCCATCTATATTGGTTTTTTGCACTTTTTCTTTTTTTTTCTTCATTTCGACGTATATATTTTCATGATTATATATAAGCAAATGTTTGCTCTGGAAACATTTGGAAATCATGATTCCTTTTTCTCTACTTAAATATTTCCTTCTATTACAAGTTCCCATGCTTACAGGAATTCCTTTGGGTTTTTTTGGGGGGGGGGTTGCAACGTAAAACTACTAGATTATTGTATATATTTGGCAAGTGATTATATTTGGAAGTTGGTTTTGCCAAATGGGCATTTGGCAAATTCTCTAGGAATCACTTGTGTTATGACCACACTTACTATGGCCACAAGATGTTTATATATTCTTAACCAATGTATAATTAGAAGGTAAGAAGGCAAAAAGACCGGAAGAAAGTCACTCTGGAAATAGATATTTCCCCCGTCTTATTCCTTTGGTTTCTCCTGAATAGTTTGTTATGTTTCTACTGTAAAATTGGCAGCTGTACAATATATATGCTTTTGATGTTATTAACCTACATCCTGCATTTCAATTTAAAGTGGCTTGTTAATGCTCAAAATTAAAATTCTTTAGCCTTCAACATGGCTTGGCTGTATTTCTCGCTCCACTGACATTCTTAGAACAGTCTTTAGTCTGGAAAGGATCTTCTTGATTTTAAAATGAATGTGCCATATGAATGTTTGTGGGTTGTAAAACCTGCTCGCCATGTAAATAGCTGGTAATACTCAACTTTTTAATAAAGAACACTATAACTGGTACAACTGTACTTTCCCTGTTATTCATAACGAGGTAGGGTAGTATCACATGTCCTTTTGTTAGTTTTCCTGTAACCATATTGCTTGTTCAGAAAAAAAATAAATAAATCAAGGAATTGCACACTTACGACATTACATTCCTTTTTTAGACATCTGTTTCAGTTAAATTGTGAAATCAGTATTTAGGTTCATGGTTGTATGTTCTAAGGAGGATTTCCCACCTCACCCTTCTTGGTGTGCGCCTTTGGGGTTCCTAAAAATGTTGTTTCTAAAGATTACTATATTCAGAATGTCAAAACACATGGAGGAAAAAATCATTAAAAATCAGTAGAGTCAGGCAGATACCATCCTCCTCATCAACATCATTCTCTTCCATAGACCTGGAAGTCTATGGAAATGGCCGTTCCAGAAGAAGGTTTTTGAATAGGTGATACTTATATGTGAATTGGCGCTGTTTTGGCTGTGGGTCTTTTTGAAATCTAAAATAATGCCCTTAAACCAAGATCCGTACATAAATAAGTTTGCTGCAGAAGTATCTAAATATATCTGTAGGCAGCGAAAAGAATTATTTGCAGTGTTGAACAATTTGTGAGCCATTCCTCTCTCCTCTCCATTGTTCAGCAGAATGAGGAATTTGTTTAGTATTTATTTAAGGTAAAATATAAGCTGTATTTGAACATTAATAGCCATGACCCTTCTCTATATTAATTTTGATGGTTTTCCACATGCAAACATGGAAGGTCAAAACAGTAATTTTATTTTTCTTTTGTGTAGATGACTTTAGAACAGAAATTAGCTGGAAATTGTTTGGGATTCATTTTTTTTCCTCATTACAAAAGTTTAATACTTTTTAGATAGAATGCTTGTATGACTCCTACGAAAACTTTTTTTTGGCATTATATATAGAACAATCTGCACATAGAATTATTCTTGCCACTGAATTCCACATCAGAATTACGGTCCACCATTTAATTTCATATAATGCTAGTTATAAATAATGTGGTAAAAATATTAATCTCTGTAGTTTCTAGACAATGGTCCAGTGAAGCTTATAACACAGAAACTCTAGATTGTTTTTTCATCATCGTAAGGAGCTTTATGCACATATATCATCTTCATTGTGCAATTAATGAACCAACTAAAATTAATTTTCACAAGTTTGTTGTATGGTATTGACAGAACTAAAGTAGAGCTTTGTATTACAGGTTCTATACACCCTTTGGCCCGTAGTCTGTAGTAAAGTACTTTTCTCTTTCTGCTAAACAGAAATCTTGATTTTTCTTAATTATCCCACAGGATATTTTATGCTGAGTCAGCAATAAATCAGTTCTTGGCAGCACACTAATAAATACAGTGGACTACTGGAAATACCATCTTTCCACTGAGATTTAAATATGAAGCGCTGAGCACTTGATACTGAAAATTCCATGGTTCCTTTTGGGAAACTAGGAAATGTTACCTCAAAGAACTTGTCCAAATTAAAATGTATATAGCCCTGTTGAAATTTCACTTGGGAGGTTAAACTGGATTATTACAAGATTCATAATAGCTATAGGGTTTTTATTATTATTGCAGTAAGGTGTTACGCTTAGTGCTTTATGCTTTTGTATAACTTTTTGTTGTTTGCAGTGTAAAACACCAATTTTAACCTTGTATGTGTAAAAAAGAAAGATTCACCTCTTAGAGAAAGAAAAAAAGAAACATAGCAAATGTTTATTTACTTTTCCATGATACATGAATATACTTAAACCTTGAGATAAAGTATTTTAAATTATTTCTTGTTCTTTTGGTAGATGCTTTCCACGAACATTTTGATAAATTGGTGGAAAAAAAATTGCTATATTGTTGACTATATAGTAGTCCAGAATTCCCCAATTTTTCCAGGTTGGCGGCCTGGAGGGAGGGGAGGGGGGAAAGAGGGGATGGTTTTGTGGGTGGGGCAGGCATGTGTGCGCCTGCATGAACGCTTGTTGCACAAGTGGGGATGTGAGCACCCGCGACACTTGCCGAGTAGGGCCGGGAGTGCTCACGACACTTGTGCGAGTGGCGCCATGAGCACCTGCGATGCTCATGCGAGTGAGACCCCAAGCGCTTGTGCGAGTGAGGCCCCAAGTGCTCACGGAAATGAGGCTCCGAGCACTCATTCGAGTGAGGCTGTGAGTGCCCAAGACATCACATGAGTGCGATTGTGAGCGCCCACCAGCCAGCCACTCATGTGGCCCAGTTGCGAATAGGCCACGGACCAGTAGTGGGCCATGGCCCACAGGTTTGGGACCCCTGCAGTAGTCAACTACTGTATAGTCAACAATATAGCAAGTTTTTTTTCACCGATTTACCGAAATGCTCATGCATTGCCACATTGCCACAATGCTCATGCATTGACATCATGCACAAATGATGCATTTGACGTGCACACTAATTGATATCATGTGTGAAAACTGTTAGTTCTATTTACTTTTAGTAGCAATGGCAGAATCTATTAAACATGATGTCTGTGCAAGATGCTTTCATTTCATCTTTAGCAAGAATAACACATTTGGTATTTAAATTATACAGGTAGTCCTCAACGTAACAACAGTTCTTTTAGTGACCCTTTGTTTAGTGACCTATGATAATATTTCACACTTACAACCATTGCAGCATCCCCATGGTCACGTGATCAAAATTTGGATGTTTGACAACTGGTTCATATTTATGACGGTTGCAGTGTCCCAGGGTCATGTGATCCCCTTTTGCAACCTTTTGACAAGCAAAGTCTGTGAGGAGTCCAGATTCACTTAACAACCGTGTTACTAACTTAACAATTGTAATGATTCACTTAACAACCGTGGTAAGAAAGGTCATAAAATTGGGCAAAATTCACTTAACAAATGTTTTGCTTAGCAACAGAAATGTTGGGCTCAATTGTACTCGTAAGTCGAAGACTACCTGTAATTGGGCACAAAAGAACTTGGAGAAGCGAATAGTGGCAGAAATACATAAACAGTGCAATCTGCTGATGCACTTCTACAGAAATATTCTTTTTTTTTTTTAAAGAAAAATGTCCACACACGAGTTAATTTTTGGGTGTTAAAACTGTTTCAATACCTATGGATGAACTTGGTATCTTAAACAGGAATATTTATGTTTTCCAGCCCGATCATTCTCAAACCCTGAGTTTCTTTATTTGAGAAAATACAGCTAACAATCTTCACTTATTCAGTGAAGAGGGTTTTTATTTTTTATCAGCCTTAATGCTGTTCTTACATTTGAGAAATCAGTGCAGATCACTTTGGAAGGAAGATATAACCTAAAAAAAAAATGATTAACCAGTTGTAAAGAACTCCAGTAATCCCAGCACTGTTATACTATTTGGGTCAGATATCAAGTTACCAACACTGCCAGATCATTTATACTCAATTGTGCTGTTAACTTTATTATCAGTCGGATCAATATTACACTGCTGAGACATTCTTCTTCTGTATATCTGAAGAGAATTATTTTCCCAGCTATATTGTAATCAGATTATTTATTTTCAAAGGTCTGCTACTTTCTTTAGGTTCCATGCCAAATTAAATCCAATTCCTTTTAAATGTGAGGTGGGAGAATTAGCAACTCCATTCATTTTCAGAATGTTCATACTTAACCTCCGATGGTATTCTCAGCTTGGCTGAATAAAATTAACTGAGGGATGAGTTTAAATAGAGCCAATAAAGCTTTATGTACAAATCAAAACGCGGTGTTTATTTAAACAACAGAATGACAGAATACCCTTTGTAATTTTGGCATACAAAAAAGGCATACAGTATGGTCTATTTTAAAATAACGATTTTCTCTTTGGGACAGCATTTAAGGTTTTGTGCATGTACATATGTTTATACACACACACAGAGTTCATTTTCAGAAACATAACTCAGCAAAGATGGCACATCTTTTATACAGAAGTATAATCATTCCTTTTCCTTTTCCTTTAAGGCAATGATTATAGGTTTCATAGATGTCTATCAGTTTGCATGCTCCAGAGTCTCTGCATTAGAACGAGAAATAACATCCCATCGACATCACATTGCAACTCTGAAATCAGAACTTCAAACTGCTTGTCTTCGTGAAAATGAAAGCTTACACTCAGTAAGTGTCTGATTTCCCTTTTTTTATAATGTAATAATGTTGACACATTATTTTCTGGAAGCCTCCATTTGCTTACATAACTGGGTCAGAAAAAAGGTTTGTTATTGGGTCACAACATATTTTCTGATTAAAAAGCACATGATTAATTTGGCGTATTTTCTGCCCTGCACTATAAGAATACATCCAGTTTAAAAATAATTTCATGTGTGCACAGCACTGCTCATTAGAAAATTTGGCCTCATACAAGCCTAAGAAATTACTTTTCAAGAATCTCAAGGAGAATCAATATTAAGGTGGTAAGTTTAACACACATTTCTTTTCTCTGTGTCTAATATATGACCAAAATGAAGAAAAATATTCTATTAAGCAATACAAGATTTTTTTTAATGTCCAGAAAAAATAGACCATCCAAAGTAATACATTTTCAAATAGATGTATATGAAACAAAAATCTCAGATCCCAAACAGCAAATTAATCCTTGATCAAATCAAACAACCATGATCAAGAACCAGTTCATATACAGGGTTATCTTCAGCAAGCTAACATTTTGTCAAAGTGACAAAATGTGTGTTGTGATGTCACAGCATTTTCATATAGATAATAAGTGAACACATAACTTCAGTCCAGGGTTTTACATCAGGCACAGTGGGCTTTTTCTACTGAAGTAAAACATTTTTTTTTTTTTGCAACATGAGAAATCTAAAGTTCTTCACTTTAATGGATTCCAAATTGATGGTATATAATTTAACAACACATTCATCTTCAACTCTTATATGTTAACAACCCTGCTGTCAAACGCAGGAAATCAGGAATCAAGGTGGTTCAGATGAATACAGGTTTACTGCATCCTCTCTATAAGAATCTGAAGTACTAATAGTCAAAGCAAATTGGTGATAGATAAGAATTAGATCTCTTAGACTGATAACATACTTGATCCCTTCCTCGGGCTCAGCCTGGTCATCTCCTACACCTGTAACTATTAAGCTAAATCTTTTTAAAGTTGTGTGTGTGTGTGTGTTTAACTACTGTGTTATATCTAAAGGTGGATGACTCCTGCTTTTAAGAACTTGCTTAGAATTTTTTACTCCATGAGGGAAAATAAATCATGTTTTTTTCTCATCTTATTCTTTCTCTGGGGTATCAGTATCTTGAAAAACATGTCACATGGTAGCAGATGAGAAGAGAAGGTCACATACATCAGGGATTCCCAACCCCTGGTCCGTGGACTGGCACCGGTCCGCAGCATGCCAGCAAGCGGGCCGCACAAACAAGCAAAGCTCCATCCTCAGGATGCAGGCAGTATTCAAAACCACACCCCTTCTGGTCCATGGAATACCTTTCTCCATGGCACCAGTTCCTGGTGCCCAAAAGGTTGGGAACCTCTGACATACATTATAGAGAGAAATGATGGAAGTTCCTTTTACATGTATTTATTTCCTTTTAAACGTCCTTGTATGTATTTGCTCACTTGGACAAATCCAACATGGGAACTTTACCTTCTCATACTTTTTGAAAGAATTACCTATTGGTCAACACTGAATAATCATCTGATCATTCTTTGAAAAAAAGTAAATGCAGTAATAAAGTCTTAATGAAGAAAATTAAGTTAAGTCTTGTGTAAAGGGCATAGGGAATGGCATTGAAGAACAGGAGGAAGAATTGCTACCAAGGCAGCAATCAAATAAGAGGGGCTTCAGTACAAGACAAGAAAATAACTTGAAAAATCGCCTTGGACAAACTCTTCCTAGTTTCACATGGAGATAAATGGGGGGAGGGGGGAGGGAGAAGCACATTGAGACTTGCAAGATTCTCATATTATAGTTGTTGCAATAAAAATAATCCTCTCCTACATGACATTGGTTTCTTAATCTGGTCTACTTGTTGGGCTAATACCTTGACTTGTCTCCCCAGACCTCGTGATTTTTACCCACGTACAGTATATATTTCCTATTTGTTTCTCTTTTCTTCATTTTCTCACCTTGACAATCAGGAGAATGAAGAGAAAGTGAATAGTTTGGTTCTGGGTTTTTTTTATGTTGGTGTTTGAAGTGATTAACTTTTGATAGCTTTCTAAGGATGTTAGACTAATGGAATATTTTAAAGTATATTTTCCAATAGTTGTAATTGTCGAATGAAGATATTTGACTCTGAAAAATACTGTGACCCATCCCTGCTTGATTTAGAAATAAAAAATCAACCCATAACCAGCTAAGCTGAACTAGGATCTTCAAGCTGCTAGCTCTACATGTAACTTCAGATGCCTTAATTTCTATTGCAAGAATGTTAGCTACGTTGCCAGCTTAAAACGTCTGACTCTGACTACAGAATCATAACTTTGTAAACTATTATGTGATGTTGACATAGTCCAATGCATTTTAATTAAAATTGCTTTTCTAAGCTGTTATGCCGTGGCAAGTTGGGGTTAACCCACAAATGAAAGCAAAAGTTTTTAAAAGTTCTCATAGTGACATCTTAGGAGCATGGATGGTCATAAATTCAGTAATTGTGACTAATCAATCTCATCAAGTTAAACTGTGCCAATTCACTACACACCATTTGCATCTTTCCATTCCAACACTCCAATGCTATGCTTATATTCATTTTTCTGGGAACAAGTCACTGTTGGACTTACATCTGCATAAGCTTATTGCTTTGTGTCCATTCCTTCTATATCTGCTTTTCAGCTGCTTTAATAACGTGTGAGCCCATCTGTCAGTAAGCTTGTTCCGTGCTCTTTTGTCTTGTCACTTAGCTTCTCCAGTTGAGGGACAGAAAGTTGAACCAACCATGTGATCACTTTTAATTTCAATGGGAGAAGAAACCATAGGAATTAGAATGCTTTAAGAGGAAAGCTGCAAGCTTATATTATCTTGTGAGGCATCATTTTCTTGAGGAACAAAAAGCAAGACTGAGCCTATTCCTCTTTTCAGCAACCATCGAGCAAAGTCAGAACTTCCTGGATGAACAAGTTCTTTTCACATCTTGGGAACAATCACCTTGAACGTTCTTCTCTTCCAGATTACACTAATGTATTTTTATTGCCTCAACGGAGAGAACTGTCATTCTGTGTCCTCCACTGTTTTCAATCCTCAAGCTGCTAACTCCAAAACTGGAGGATTTACCTATATTCAGACTGGAGTTTATTTTTTGTTTTAGTTGGGTTGGTGTACAGGCTCATGCATCCCTAAGCAGATATTTATGTGTAGCTCAAGAATGAAGGAACCATCATAAAAGTATATTTAAAAGTAGAAGCAGCTAGAAGAAGAGTGAATGAGGTGCATGTAAAGAATATTCAGTACGCCTATTTTTTTTTCACTTCCTTATGTCTGAGACTATTGCATGCCACAAGATCCAGGCTTGTTTTCTTCATCGCTGTGTGACTTGATTTGCTTCTGTCCTTTAAATGGCTCCTTGGCTTGCAACAGATGCAAAGGCCTAAAACTACCAGGAGGAAAAGTTAAGGCTTTGCTTAAGAGAGGTCCAGAGTACTAGTCTCTGAGCAGAGCAGCGTTGATGGCACTGTCCTTCCTACCATAGCCTCCTCTGTTTTCAAGCCTAACATGGAACATTTTTATTTTTTCTATCTTTTCTAGTCAAAATTGAGATCCTACTGTACATCGTAATTTGACCTTCCACATGTAAAACAGGTGAGTCTTGATGCAGGAGTCATTATCTGTGTGTTTCCCCTCTGTTTAAATCTTGGAATCATGGCTTCATAATTTTATGTTGCTCTCCAGGATGCAACATCCTTTTGAGGTAGAACAATGATCCTAACTGCCAGTGGCCTGAAGGTAGACAGAGTGAAGTATACAAGCCATCCTCAGTTTATGGTTTCAGGATTTTGCTTTGTTGTCTCCTGTGGGGTCCACATATTTAAATGACATGGTTTCATTTAATTAATCATAGCTTAAGGCATAATCATGCATGGGCAGACCACGCGGACACTTTTGGCATACTTGTAATTACTGATGCTGGGTTTTGCTAAGAATAACAAAACAGAGTTTTTGACTGAGGCTTTCTGGCTTTATCAATTATGTCCACTAAAACGAGGATTGGTTGATGTGCCATCAAATCGTTGCCAAGTTTTAGTGACCATATAGATAGATTTTCTCTACCGTGATCTGTTCCCATCCTGGTCTTTCAGATCTTCCAATGGTGCACTCATTGCCACTATAACTGAGTCCATAGACCCTGCTGCTGGTCATTCTCTTCTTCTTATCTTTACCAGTTTTAGAAGCTTCTCCAGAGAAATGGGCCTTTGCATAACGTGTCCAAAGTAGGATAATTTGAGCCTGCTTATTTGTGCCTCCAGTGAGAAGTCTGGATTGATTTGCTCATTTGTTTTCTTGGCTGTCAGGAATCTTCTCCAAGCCCCAAAATTCAAAAGCATCAATACTAAAGTATTCTGCTTCTTCCAAGTTTAGAGAGGAGGAGCCAGGATAGTGTTCAGCACACTGCTTACTTTTTAATAGCTTACCATCTTGTGCAAATGCAGTAAATGCAAAACCACTATTTAATAGCAGGAGGCAAGTTAGGGTGCTGCCATAAATGTGAACCAGGGGAAATAACAGGCAATATAGGTATACAGTTTAGGATCAGGATTAGGATCTTAATTTATTTCCATTGAATTAAATCCAACCCTTTAAGTTTTTAAAATGTGCTTTAGTTATCTTGCTGAGTGCACATATTTATTGTAACTTCTATGAGTTACTCCTTTGATTTGGGTTTTCTTGCTGCTATCAGTATGTATCAAGGGAGTTGATCTTTGGTAGAGAGTACTTTGAATAAAGTTCAGTGAAAGACAGACAGACAGACAAACAGACAGACATATTGTTTGGATCTTAGCTTCTAGTGAGGATTTATGACAAACTAGATGGTTTTGAAAGAGTGGGGGGAAGCATTGCAATGGAGATCAGCAGCCAGACAGCAACTTTTTGCCGGTGAAGTCTCTCTGGAAAAGGAAGAGATCAGGATATCTCCCACTTGCACTCTGAGCAGCT